ATATATTTCCCAAACTATTCATAGATTGAACGTGAGGTGTTCTTTTACTAAATAAAATTTGTAAAATTTATCAGTTGATTTCGCGACACTCTTTCTCCACTGGAGTAATGCTTCCAGTTTTCCGACCATGGAGAGGTAACTCAATCTAATCACTGATCCTAATACACAGTCTGATAAGTACTGTAACGTTTATACAAATCATTTAGGTTTGTACAGCACTTGTTAACCCATCATAGAAAAAAGAACCGATTTTGCTTCTCATAATTTATGAGTACGAGTTGGATGTATTCCAATAATCACTGGATGACATTGCGTTCCGGTCGCCACGGAACTCAATAACCAAATAATGTAAATGATTTCTTCACATCTAATATCGATTTTAGGATACCTGATCATTGGTCATGGTGACCTATTGCGATCGTCCGTCGTCTGTTAACTTTTTTTTTTGTGAACACGAAAATTTGAGTAAATTTGATTTTAATGGTACTTGGTATCAGGCCTGATATCCAGAAGGTCTCGGGTGAGTTTGACAATGAGATCGAGACAATGGCAATATATGGAGCTATGGTTGAAATTAGCCATGGGACCTTTTAGTTTCACGAGCCTCCTGTTCCATACCGAGAGAAAGATGTTGTTACTTATAACTACTCTAACCTCTAGTTGTACAAATGCTTCCTCCTGGTCATTTTATTCAACTTGGAATATCCGATTGGTATGAATATATATGTGGAACCTCCGTCAATAAAGATAATCTCTTTGCCTTAATTTGTTAACCATCTTTAGCGATTGTAAACAGAACGACAATCATCAATTACTTACGTCAATATGTTTCACATATTCACGTTAGTATGTTTCACGTTTATCATCAATGTGTTTTCCCTTTTTCACGTCAGTATCTTTCATATTTTCTCGTCAACATGTTTCACATTTTCCTGTTACTATGTTTCATATACTAACGCCAATATGTTTCATATTCTCATGTTTGTAGGTTATACATTCTCACGTCAATATCTTTCACATATTCACGTCAACATGTTTCACATTTCCGCGTTAGCATGTTTCACAATCTTACCCCAACATGTTTCACATTTCCGCGTTAGCATGTTTCACAATCTTACGCCAACATGTTTCACATTTCCGCGTTATTTTTTTAAGACCATACCTATAGCAAGCCTCTATTTAGAGGCTAACGAACCATCACTATATGGCCGTCGAAATAAATTGGCTTTACAACACACCATTCAGCTTAGGTCAAATCCTTCAAATCCTTCTTTTTCACTTATGTTTGATCCAAAATATAAAACCTCGATTCGAAATAAACCAAATGCCATTCAACCATTCGGTATTCGGATTTCCGCTCTTTCACGAAACACAGATATTAATAATGACCAAATTCAATCATTTGGAACGATAGAAATGCCGCGACCATGGTTTCACGAGATGAAGCCGATGGATACCGGATACCGAACAACGTCTCAATATTCTCGGCGGAAGCGCGAATTATCTACCTCGCCCTTAAACATATTCAAACAAAGTAATGAGAGCTGTTCTATGCAGACTCTCTTTCTGTACTACAAAGTCTTGGCAATAGAAATATCAAAAATATTTTCATTCGTGATGCATTAATACTATATCATGAACTTGCCTTTAACTTTCGTATTGCTTTTTGCTGGGTTCCTGGCCACATGGGAACACAAGGCAATAAAAATCAGATCGTGCCGTAAAGGCAGCTTTATCGCTACCACTTACTGTCTTTAAACTTCATTTTACTGATTTTAAACCATTTAACAAACAATCTTAACAGCTTAATTGCATGAGGAATGGAATCAATATATCAATAATAAATTGCATTCAGTAAAACTTATCATCGATTAAATGGTCTCTTTGCTATAGAGACAACCACGGAGACGAAGTTGTCCTTGCCTGTCTTCGGATCACAAGTCACAAGTATAAAGACTCTTTTAAAAACTGTTCAGATTTATAAAATTCTAGGTCAGCTAAAAGATGTTTGTCTATATTATAGACTATGACTTACCATTTTCATCTTTTGTGAAAATATAACCATGTAAGATTTTTAGCATTTGTCTTACCTTTTAGTTTGTTTGATGTTTTTTTTCCTTTTTGGATCGCTGTGTTTTTTAACCGGTTGATGGCCCTAATGACCTTTATGTGTTGACAGGCCGTTAAGAATGTAATAACAATAACGATGATAATTGTTTCACATACTTACGCCAATGTGTCACATTTTCACGTTAGTTTGTTTCACGTTTCTCGTCAATGTGTTTCACATTCTCACGTCCTTATTTTTTCACGCTCTCGCATCAATATGTTTCATATTCAGACGTCAGTATGTTAAATTAGAAAAAAAAGAACAAATAGATTTTTTATTTTTTTTTTAATTTATGCAAATCTCATGGTAGCACTTCATAAACAATGTAAGATAAAGAAAACGTGAAAACCAGTTGAGACTTTTAACGACAATGTGTCGCACCGACACACATTTAAAAAAGTACCAAATAAACATAGCAGTTAATTTATTTAACCATTTAATCTACTTGTGCAATTTGTTTATCTTTCGTTAGTTCGCGAGAACGTAAAATCGCTTCATATCTTTTGAATTTTTGACTAGTGTATTGTATGTAAGAAAATAAGTCAATAAAATAAAATTTAAAAACAACTTTCAGCAGAAACTGTATCACTACAAAGGAATAATGATGACTTTTTATGAACGATACCTTGACGTAAAGAAACAACTACATTTTTATCCTTTTTTACCGAACGTTTCTATACAGATAAGCTTCTTCTGATAATGTCCAAAATATTTCTTGCACAAAATTATCAATATATCATATTATATTTATATTATACAATTATCGCACATTTATAGAGACGCATACAAAGTTATACAAAATGAGATAAAAAAAGTAACAATTTCGAGCAAGAGCTGATAAATCTCAAAAATCATGGAAAAGTGTTTCCAATCGTTGATACATAATGCTTGTGTTAGTTCATATAATACCTATAATGTTTCAAAGTTTGTTTGGTTTCCTCGTATACATTCAAATGTATAACATAATATATTATATGGAATAACACAAACGCCATAACAACGTACAAACATGATAAATCTATATATAACCTGTTTAATGTAATATCTTAATATAGTAGTGAACAATACAACATCCAATACTCAGGTTTTATAAATACAAGATATCTTATTAGTACCATATTTAAAAAACTGCGGGTAGCAAAAATAAACATTTTATGGCTTAACTAAACAATGTATGTTTCCGGCCATTTTACTTATGTTGTTAACGTCACTCAAACATTTCATATGATTTTTTATGAAATGAGTCTTAGAAGGTTTTTTTTCTGTTAGCCTTGCTTGGCAAGCAAATTTCAAGACAAGTTTCATAAAATCTCATATGAAATCAAATTTATGATACTTCTAATCTTTGTAAAAAATGCTGTGGCCGGTATGAACTGTTAATGAAAAATAACAGTGGACGTGCATATTAACACTACAACACGCCTGATTAACGAGAATATGATAGCGGTCAGTATGTATTGATACTAAAACATATAGAATAGAATATGATAGTGGGCAGTATGTATTGATACTAAAACATGTAGAATAGAATATGATAGTGGCCAGTATGTATTGATACTAAAACATGTAGAATAGAATATGATAGTGGCCAGTATGTATTGATACTAAAACATGTAGAATAGAATATGATAGTGGGCAGTATGTATTGATACTAAAACATGTAGAATAGAATATGATAGTGGCCAGTATGTATTGATATTTAAATATACAAAATAGAATATGATAGTGGTCAGTATGTATTGATACTAAAACATGTAGAATAGAATATGATAGTGGCCAGTATGTATTGATACTAAAACCTGTAGAATAGAATATGATAGCGGTCAGTATGTATTGATATTTAAATATACAAAATAGAATATGATAGTGGTCAGTATGTATTGATACTAAAACATGTAGAATAGAATATGATAGTGGCCAGTATGTATTGATACTAAAACATGTAGAATAGAATATGATAGTGGCCAGTATGTATTGATACTAAAACATGTAGAATAGAATATGATAATGACTCGCATTTATGAATCTATAACGCACCTCATTCAAACAGTAATTTCACAATATTAGATGACAAGGTAAAATCAATCCATCGATCCCTTTTATGTGAAATAACTTCCGTAACATGAATAACATATTCCAGTAAAACAACTTTATTCCTCTGTTGCTGTGTCAATTCCACTGCACATGTCTCTATTTCAACATCATTTTATTATTGATCATGTATTAGTGTTACACTGTGTATGTCCTGTTCTGACTTGTTACACTGTGTATGTCCTGTTGATGACGTGTTAGTGTTACACTGTGTATGTCCTGTTGATGACGTGTTAGTGTTACACTGTGTATGTCCTGTTGATGACGTGTTAGTGTTACACTGTGTATGTTGATGACGTGTTAGTGTTACACTGTGTATGTCCTGTTGATGACGTGTTAGTGTTACACTGTGTATGTCCTGTTGATGACGTGTTAGTGTTACACTGTGTATGTTGATGACGTGTTAGTGTTACACTGTGTATGTCCTGTTGTGACATGTTAGTGTTACGCTGTGTATGTCCTGTTGTGACATGTTAGTGTTACGCTGTGTATGTCCTGTTGTGACATGTTAGTATTACACTGTGTATGTCCTGTTGTTACATGTTAGTGTTACACTGTGTATGTCCTGTAGTTACATGTTAGTGTTACACTGTGTATGTCCTGTTGATGACGTGTTACTGTTACACTGTGTATGTCCTGTTGATGACGTGTTATTGTTACAGTGTGCATGTCCTGTTGTGACGTGTTAGTGTTACATTGTGTATGTCCTGTTGATGACGTGTTAGTGTTACACTGTGTGTGTCCTGTTGATGACGTGTTAGTGTTACACTGTATATGTCCTGCTGATGACGTGTTAGCGTTACACTGTGTATGCCTTAATCTTCAACGTGTTATTATTGGCGATGTATAGATTACCGTTGATTGGGCTGTAACATATTCCGCGTGGTTTAACAACTCCGTCATTTCCGGCGAGAATCGGACACCCTTCATTTCCTCCCGGTACAATTCTATGAACATTGGACGTTTCCTTTGCGCAAACAAATATGTTTCCGGATCTGTCGACTGATATTCCTGTCGGACAACCAAGGTCACGTGCTCTGTAGACGAATTTCAATTTGCCATCTCTCCCCAAAGCAATGACACAGTGTAAGGCAGAATCAGTGACATAGAGTTCCGTGTACATGCTGTTGCAAGAGATGTGTTGTGGGGCTGTAAGTCCTACACCCTTCACAGGAAGCACTGTCCCCTTTTTCGAATCATCTTCAAGACTAAGTTTTAATATGTACGGATCACCCAACCATGGATCACACGTGACATATAGGTTTTCATCACAATAAACCACACCCCAACACTCTCCAGTGCACGGAACGTCTTTCACATAGACAAGTTCATTTGTGGGTACCTTCTTAGGTTGGTTTTCGCTGTCAGCGTGTGTATTTTTTCTGTTTTTGTCTTCCTTCATAACGGTGACCATTTTCAAGATTTTGACAATTTTCTCTCCAGGAAGGGTGACAGCAAAATGTAAATCGGGTAAAACAGCTAGATCCCAAGGCAATGTTTGAAATGTGTAACAAGTGGACGCTCTTAATTTCTTGTTGTGTACCTTCAGTTCCGAGGCACACCTATCGATGATAGCTAAATCACCAGAAGGCAAACAACCAATTGCCGTTATGAAAAACGCTTGTTGCGAGTCGTAAGAATAGGGAACAAAAGTATTTACGCTATGAGCGCGTTCGGGGGGAGGTGATGGTAGTCTTAGAGGTTCAGCTACACCTATACTTCCGTTTGTGCCCGAAGACCGAGACGAAGTTGAAGAGGAATTTGAACCAGATCTAGAAAGATGTACAGACCTGAAAGAATCTGGTCTCCCTGCAGTCGACGACGGATCACTACTAGTCGATGGCAAGGTTTTTTCTGCTCTCTGCATAGCCAGCATACCCGCAAATTTAGAGACGGCTTGAACTTTCGCACGTACTCTCCCATTCATCTCAAAAACTAGAAAGGGCGGCAACCGAAAGTATGTGGGTACCTGCTTGACGTGACCAGTAGTTTCATCATTATCAGCATGTGGCAGTGTCAGTTCATAGTCGTGGTTTTGGATATCGTTGTAGATTTCCCGGAGGAATCGTTCATAGACCGATCTTTTGTTACTGATCCTAATATAGACCTTCATAAACTGTGCCGGGGATGTGTTGGACTCATCTCGGAACAGTGCTCTCATTTCCTCGGCATCCGCTGTCGTCATTTTTATAAGATTTGTAAGTCTTTCTTTTTCTTTTGAAAGCTTCTTTGTATTATTTGCATGCATACTTTCGAAGTCTGTCAATATTTCTTCGTCAGCATTACTCGTCTTTTCATTCGATCTTTTTCTTAGTTGCTGTAAAATTACGTCCCGTTTTTTCTCTAAGATATCTGATTCTTTAACACGATCTTGGTACATGATGTCTGCGAACTTACGGTATTTCCTAAGCGCTGCTATAAGATCAATCATCTCTCGCGAGCTCTTTTTAGAGCTGGCAACATCAGCTATAGGAGAGATATTGACACAATTCTTGTGATCTTTAGCTTTACATAGGTCACAAAGAATGACCTGGTGTTGTTCACAGAACAGTTCGTTCTCTAGCTCCATCTGATTATGGTCATGCTGTTGTTGGAGGTCTTCCAGATAAGACGACTTGTCTGCCTCATCCTGGTTCCAAAGATTTCTCTTGCTCTTAGCCTTCTGTTTTATAGCACTGACCTGGGAGGAGAGCACAGACTTGACACTTTCCTTGGTCTCGTCAGTAACTGACATATATGAGTGTTTCATGGCCCAGGGTTGGGCACGATGAAGTTTAGTACAGTTGTTACAGAATGGTTCTTTACAAGTAACACACAATAGTGTGGCTCCGACACTCATTCGCTCCATCTTACAGGGCCCGCATAGAACATCGAGGCGATCCCTTTTATGAGCCATAATCATAGATAATTTGACACGATTTTGATTAGTAAGTCGGGTTCCGATAATTATCTTCTGTTAACGGGTTTGTATTATTTTAACTTCCAGTGTGACAGTGCGGTACTACAGAACGTGACATGAATTCAGACCAGTGTATACACATAGATGTTCCACAGACTTTCTCACATCCGTAGCCTTACAAACACAATAGTCTTGTGGGAGATTCCACAACATTAGCAATGTATTTCCATAAAACCCAGATACCATCCTTAACCTCGCTGATTAAGTCGTTATGACATAGTTCTCTAGTCTGTCCTCGAGTTATAGTTCTACGTTCCCTGCTGTAGCGGGACCTTATTGACTAGTATGATGCATTTGGTATCCGAGACTGCAATCAACCACGGGAATACCTGCCACGCCTAGCTTGTCTACACCTTACCTGTGCGCACTCCCTAGCTGTTGGTATTCTAACTGATTTCACTGTCAATAATCCATAACGTTTTAACATACGCTAGTGGTGTAGCCGCATTAACGACATCATGTGATGCCCACAGCACAAATGGATTCGACGATTGGCAGACACAGGTTAATGCATCTGTTAGAATGTTTGAAATCGTATATCATAAATCCGAAATCAATTCCTAGCTGACGTAATATTTCATTTTCCAAGAAAAAAGGACAATAATCATCCTGCAGCAAAAATGCATCAAGCCCCCATTCTCACTAATAAATGTTCTTTAAGGCAATTCCTCAGCGGAAGAAATACTTTCAAGAAAAACATCAAGAATAGAGTATACTTATAGTTTAGGTCCATTCTCCTTTTTGCCTCCGGGAAACAGCGCTGTAGTTAGGATATTGACGTTTTGTTGCAGTGAAAAGGCATCATTTTATGTCCACTAAATGTCGCATTTCATTTCAATAGAGAAAAAATGACGAATTGGTCAATAAAAAGGCGCTTTATCGAAGCTGTAGAAGGTACTAACAAGAAGTAATAATGGTATTCTAGTCCAAAGCAAACAACAGCGTCGCATAGAAATATTGAACAAAAAGGAATGCTTCAAAGCATGTCGACAGTGTCAGTAATTATTCACTATTATCACTCAGTGTTCATCAATTTTTCATTATCTCCTATCTAAATAAACTACAGTGAAACTTCACCTAACGACCGCCTCAAAAGTACGACCACCCCGCTATTAAGGGCACTTTTTACAGACCTGTTTTTTCCACTATATATACTTGTATTGGTCGTTTCAGTATTACGGCCACCCCGCTATTACGGGCACTTTTTATAGACCCGTTTTCCCCCACTATATATACTTGTATTGGTCGCTTCAGTATTATGACCACCACTCTATTACGGGCACTTTTTACAGACCCGTTTTCCCCCACTGTATATCTTTGTATTGGTCGCTTCAGTATTACGGCCACCGCGCTATTACGGGCACTTTTTACAGACCCGTTTTCCCCCACTATAAATACCTGTATTGGTCGCTTCAGTATTACGACCACCTCGCTATTACGGGCACTTTTTACAGACCCGTTTTCCCCCACTATAAATACCTGTATTGGTCGTTTCAGTATTACGACCACCCCGCTATTAAGGGCACTTTTTACAGACCCGTTTTCCCCCACTATATATCCTTGTATTGTTAGCTTCAGTATTACGGCCACCACTCTATAACGGCACTTTTTACAGACAAGTTTTTCCCTCACTATATATCCTCGTATTGGTAGCTTCAGTGTTATGTGTTAGGTGGTGTCAACAAGGTGCTATTGTAGGGATAACAATTGAAACGGTTTTTTAAAACTCCTGTGGGACAAACATTGTAATATATATATTGAATGTGAATCAGTCTGGTATGTCAAAAATAAGTAAATGAGCTATTTCAAGACGACAGAGTTATTGATTAGGTAAATGAGAGTGTTCATAGATACACAGTTGGTATATGTATGATTTAAAACTGCTCTTAAAATTGATTAGTCAGTCTTTTTGGGGATTTTACTTTGGTGCACATTAATTAGAGCGTAGCTCTTCAATGATTTGTGAATTTTATGTTAATTGGAGACGTCTCCCTCCTCATATGAGTTATAAATAATAACCGTATGATCATTAAACCGGAAACAATACTCCAGTGGAGAATAGTCTCGCTCAGCCATCCCTTGAAAGTCTATATTTATTAAGAGGTCAAGAGTCTGGGAGATCAGAGTTACCTCCCTTACCGCTGCTGTGGCGCACGCTGTACCCCACGTTTGACATGATTACAAGTTATGTTGTCATTCATTTAAAGAATATATCATATTAAGATTTTCAGAGTTTGATGAATATATGTTAATTTGAAATGAATTGTTTTGACTATGCTAATATTCTCGTACCTAAAGAAAAAAAATTGTTTATAACAGAACTACACTGGAAAACAGGATGTGAAAAGCAACCAATAGATACTGAAAACAACATTTAGATGTTCTTGTGAAACAACGCGCCTCAAAGCATGTGTCCAACTGAAGAATGTGAGGTGTGAAGAACGACCCGGGACATAAGTACTACCGTCAATGAAATATAGACACAACAGTGCAAATGTGATCAGGCTGTTTCAGATCTTCCTTGTTGATATCAGTGTGGACTCGATCATTCTTATAACAGGACATTCACAACAGCGAAGGTCACAAACAACAAACTATACAAATAAAATACATAACAAATCTCAGAGGCAACACTCTTCCAATTTACATTTACCCCAAGCAGTGATAGATACTGCAACTTCAAACTGTTTCAAAACGTTTTACAGAGTGGGAGACGACCGCAAGTCCATGCCACCCTCACCAGAAATAAATGATTTAGAAGATATATCAGTAGCAATATTTTGATCAACGTTAACGTCAGAGATTTATCGATGAGGTGAATTTATATTTGCTATTTTCACAAATAAAATTTTTGTATATGCAATATACTGTGCCCATCCTGAGGTACATTAAACTGTATTTATGCCTTATTTCAGTTTGAATTAATTATGTTATTACTATAATGCTTCGCTCTAGGACAAATGCGGGGGCGTTTATAGCAGATAAACACGGTACGGGACCGTGAATAGGACGCGGACGTCACGACAGCAAGATACGTAACCTTTGTGTAGTCCTTTTCACTAACGACTAGAATCATTCAAGGATTACCCGGATCCAGAACAGTACGAAACAGGTCCAAGACACTCCGCTGGCCGTCCAGTTTTGTTTCAAGAGTTGTTTACTTAGAATGGTTCAGAAGACATCCACGATTCACCAACAGGGACGAGTCAGAAGGACTATTCGCAGACGAGTTCAGATTATTGACGTAATAAGGAACGTATAAGGATGCACGGAAGGAGCCCTTTGGTTGTAGTGAGTTGTTGGCATATACTTGATATAAACGAGGAGCAGAGTGTCACCGTGCTACCTTGGCCTGATGTGTCACCGAAAGTGTCTCCAAATCGAACATGTTTGGCATGACTGGAGCGACGTCTGCTTCAGGAGCCAATCAATCCAGCGACGTCGTATACTATCAGCAATATTGCAGAACATTTCCCAAGCATTTCTGCATTATTTGATAAGTTCCATGCGTCACTCACCATTAAAATTGCGAAACTGGATTTCGTCCTCCTTTCTTTTCTATGGCTTTAAATTTCTTTTCTGATTAAAACGGCTATTTCTCTGTGTCATTATGAAGATAATACGTTTTAAAGAAAGATTTCGTTCAAAATTTAATATATATTTTATAAGAATTTTAACAATGTATAGAATTCAAAAGTTTTTTTAAGATCAAGAGAATTGTCATTTCCTTTCTTTTACAAAAGTACATTTATATTTAACAGTCACCTTCAGATAAGTCAACTAACTGTCTTCCAATGACCTGCACATTCGCCCCCAGGTTTGATTGAAGGGTTGATAATACAGTGAATGCGATGCAGGGGAGATAACTGTTACACTCTCAGCGATATTTCTTTCCGTGTAGTGTTTGATTTATGTTTGTAAAATATGTATGTCTGTATTTTTCTGTGATTTTACCAAGTCAGTATGATATCTTATTACAGGTAACAGTGAATAATAATCAAACAGTTTACTACATAGATCATGGAGGTATACGTCGGGTGACAAAGGGGAAGTAACTCTGTCGGGTCTAAAAATTATCTTTGAAGGGTACGTTCGAATGTCTGTCCAACATCACAAGGACACGAATACACAAAGTTAACCCTGGTCTAAAGCTGATAAGCGACCTTTTTTCATCTTGATATCGTAATCACAGATGGCTGTAGGTTTGATGTAACTGTTTTTGATAAGTTAGATAAACCTAATTAATTAGTCGTTTGATATCTCAGTTAGATAGCCTCTTTGCAGTAACATAATATATTTACGTGGTAATCAAATTAAATATGTCTGTGTACCAAAGACTCTTTTTCTTCCAGTAAGTGCACGTACATGTTATTATTTAATTCGAATTGAAATAGCTAGACTGCGTTAATGTTTCGGCTCAAATCTTCGTGAAACCACGGAAGTCCGTTTTTTTTAATTTGTGTAGCTGAAATTCATTTTCCTTGTGAATATCAGTAATAGGGGATGAAACTTGAGCAGTCCAGTGTGTTCGTTCGAGCAACGGTATGTTATTAAAACAAACAAACATCTGATTAAAAACAATCAAGAAAAAACTTAACCAAAGGGTGTGGTTCGTTATATTATTGGCAACTACAGCCATCCTGAACTTTTTGAACACAAGAAACCATGTCAACCAACCGTGGGAGGTAAACAAGTAGATAATTGATACTGCGACACATGTTAGTCCAACTTTGGGCGTAAACCAGACTACAAAGTCAGTTCATCCATATGTGAAATGCTTACGATTGTGGTATGAAAGTTACACGTCTTAATCAGTTATATTGCTCAGCTAACACTATGCTTTTATAACTAACAGGTTTAAGCATAGGTTATCCTTCATACCAATACAGACCCCCCTCTCAGAGGTTTGACGTCTCCTCCCCCGCATTTCAAGCACT